TCATATGGAATTAATTCCTATGATTTGTGTTGAGTATATTGAATTATTTGTGACTAGATTTGAAGCTTTCGGACACGAATTCGCGAGGCAAAGGTTTATTGGAACTTGAATTGGTTGCAAATCAAGGTAAGTGTCATGGTTAACCTTGACTTGAGGGAGCAGAATTTATTTGTCTATTTGCTACGTGATTTAATGTGCGGATACAATGTATATGTGAGGTGACGAGTACTTATGCGTTGTGGTTGAGTCAAATCATGCTGGAGGAATTTATTTTATTTTGAATAATTACTTATTTAATTAAGATATTCCTGCTTAAGTTTATTATTGATTATTTGATCAATATTTATGAATTTTTTATTGATTTAATTATTGTTGAATATGGTGAGAAAGAGTGTAAAAGCACGAAGAGTGATGTCGTGTCATTTTTATTATTTATACTATCATTGTCATGGTGAGAAAAAGTGTAAAAGCACGAAGGGTGTTGTCGTGTCATTTTTGAGTGTAAAAGCACGAAGGGTAATGCCATGCCATTTTCAGAGAGTGTAAAAGCACGAAGGGTGATGCCGTGCCAAAAGAGAGTTAAAGCACGAAGGGTGATGCCGTGCCAATTATTATTATTTATTTATCAAATTATGAGAGGAATGAGAGTAAAAGCACGATGTGTGGTGTCGTGCCATTTTCATATTAGCAGTTGCTCATTTTATTGTTGAGGAATTAATTGGCTGCTAAGTGATACTTCTCCTGCTGAAATTATTATATCATCCCCCTTCGCATGTTCTCTCCCAAATTTATAATGTGCTATTTATTGTATTATTGTTGCTTTGTATTTGTATATACTTGTACAGGTTGTTTATGTACGTGTCCTGTCATAGCCTCGTCACTACTTCGTCAAGGTTAGGCTCGACACTTACGGAGTACATGGGGTCAGTTGTACTCATACTACACTCTGCACTTCTTGTCCAGATTTTGGAGTTGGTCTCAACGGCGTACCATAGACTTGCTCGGATTCAACTACCCAAAGGGACTTGAGGTATAAATGTACAGCGCTCGCAGTTCTAAAGTTCCCTTCTATCTTATCTTACCTGTGTATTATCTTTCAAACAACTTGAATTTTATTCTGACCCTTATTTGTATTATTCTAGTAGCTCGTGCACTTGTGACACCAAATTTGGGGGTGTATGTTGATGATTCGATTGTTGTGGCTTTCTGCACTTTATTTCAGTAAATGACTTTCACTTAAATTGATTTGTTTAAAAAAAAAATTGGTTAAATTTTTTTTTCTAACATTGGCTTTTCTAGCAAGTGAAATGTTAGGCGCCATCACGGTCCCGAAGGTGGGAATTTCGGGTCGTGATAATTTTTGGTATAAAATTAGCGCAAAACCCCTAATTTGGGTGTGATTTTACATTAATAACCCCATTTGGGCCATTGTGACAAAAAGAGTGTGACATAAAGGGAATTTTCTTTTAGAATAAAAAGATAATATACATAGTTATGGTGAGATTAGTTATATTGGGATTAACTATATTATGATTAGTTATCTTGATATTATTTCTTATTGACTATTTGGTACTCCCTCTGATCCGCAATAAGTGATCAATTTGCCTTGGGCACACCCATTAAGGAAATACTAAGTTTCACACAAAAATAGTTAGTGTGACTAAACTACCCTTAATTTAATATTGCAACATAGTTATAGCGTAGCACTTACATCTCTTATCAAATCACTACATTATTCAAAATAAAATTTGAAACTTTTGCTAAAATTTTAAAAATATTTTTGAAAAAACAAACTTGAGTAGTTGTTCTCGAGGCTTTGACTGACTTTTTAGTTGCTGCAATTTAATTTTAGTAATTTAATGTGAGGAATAAAAGACTTTTAGGGATACGTACATAAGGGTAATTTTAGAAAAACAAATTAATTTTTTTCTTGATTATATAAATGGACACTTATTTTGGACTAAAAAAAAAAGGTAAATTGGTCACTTATTGTGAATCGGAGGGAGTATGTTGTATTAATCATGAGATTATCAATTTTACTGCTTTATCCCGAGATAACTTATCCTAGGATTACTATTCCACCATCTGACAAGTATAAGTTATCTTGGTACTATTTTTAATCTTAGTATAAATTATCCCAGAATTAGTAACCAAACCAGGGATAAGACGATACAAAATTTTTATATTAAAATTATTTTTGCATACATCATACCAAACGACCCCTAAATGTGGCTCATTTTTGCCTTTCCTAAAAAAAATCCTTTTTAATATTATTCTATCTTTTCTCGACTAAATACTTCTCTGTGTAATAATAATAATAATAATAATAATAATAATAATAATAATAATAAATAAAATTTTAAAAAAAGTTCTATCATATCGTTTTGGACTGCATACGATATGAGACAACCAATTACTATATGCAGTGGATAGGAAACAAAAGTGTATAAGAAAGTCATGCCTTATGGTTACACTTTAAAAGAAAGTAAGAAACTTTACACTATCATGCACTAAAAGATAATTACAGGAAATCTTCTAATGAATAACCTAAAAAAATAAAGTATGATACCTACAATAATATGTTAGAATATAAATTAAATTGGAAAAAAAAAAGGACAAGCATGCAGTCATCCAAACCGACCAATAATTATAGTACTAATAGATTATTTTGCTAGCTGTGACCCATTTGTTCTTTTTATGTAGTATGATTTAATATAAGTTTAACTTAATTCTTTGTCGGACTAATAAATAGCTATGAGTATGTTTTAAGTTTTATTACTAGTGAATCAGACCTTGAAAGAACATCCTTAACAATATTATCACTTTAATTAGAATCTTTAAGCACATGCTTACAACCTGGATGTTCTAATAACATTAGTTATAGATGCTTTAATCATCAATTAATGATTTACAATCTTATAGTTGGCTTTTTCCGGTTTTCTCAAAAATCAGATGCACAATTCATTTTATTCCTAAAATATGTCTAATTTAGAGAACTGGTTAAAATTTGATCATCCTTATGACCATTTTTTAACCTATTTTTTCATATCTTACATAGGGGCTGAACTAAAGTTAATACGCTTAAGTTAATCCAGAGCTAATACATTAGGTTCATCTCTGCAGCCAAGGAGGTGACTTAAACGATCAATAAAGTAGTGAAAATTTTGGTAACTACAGTTCAAATTCAAGCAAACACAAAAAATATTATTTATTTATTTTTTCCCCTAATCCTTGGTCGACAAAGTTCTTCAATACTTGTATTAGTGAGAGGTATAAGGTATCGGGATGAATATTGAGGCGTATGCAAGCAATGGCTCAAACATCACCGGCCTCGGCTCTTGAATTCCGAAGACAAGTTAAGCTCTTCCAACAACCAGGTGTTGGTGGAATTTATAGTTCATCATTTCTTTGCTTATCAAAAGTCAAGGATATACAATAACAACAATAAAATCCAGTGGAATCTTACAAGTTGGGTTTGAGAAGTGTAGTCTGTACATAAGTCTTATTCCTATCTTGTGAAGGTAGAAAAGTTATTTTCGATAGACTCTCAGTTCAAAAAATAATGCAAAAGAAAGTAGTAACAATAGAAGTCAAGAATATGACGTCTCATAATGATAAATACTTAATTAATAGTTAAGTGAATGTTTCAATGAACGAAAGCCACCTCTATATAAGATTGAAATGAATGTTAAAAACAATTCATGGTTGTGCACCTTTTTCTTTCTCAGGACAAAAAGTGGACTCAAGGAAAAAGAAATTCCGTTGCCGGGACTTGAACCCGGGTCTCTCGGGTGAGAGCCGAGTATCCTAACCACCTAGACTACAACGGATTGTTGTTTACAAGTCACGCACTTATAATTAAATAACCACGATCTCTAAAAATTAGAACTAGTCCAATTATCATATAAAGATTAGTTCACTGATCAATATTTAATATTTTTTAAATACATTTAACATACTGAATTAAAAAAAGAAGAAGAAGGTTTAAGTAATATATTGAATAGAAAAAGGATGTTAAAGCTAAATTTACGATCTTCAAACCATGTGTTTTATTTTCTGTTACAGTTGCGTCGAGGGTCTAGAATTCTTTTGCAAATGAAGCTGGATTTCTCTCAACTCTGGACAATTCAAGCGTGCTATTTTGGGGTATCACATTGTCTACGCGATTCTTATGGAGATATGATGTATTCCTGGGATATAAAAATTGGAAATAGAGGCGGAGCTAGTTTTTTTATTATGGATTTGGTCGAACTCAGTAATTTTAGTGTAAATCATATATTTGTCTTAGCAAATTCAATGATTATAAACAAATTATTAATGTAAACTCAGTAATTTAACAAGACTAGAATTAGAACTCGTATACTTCGAATTATGATTCCGCCTCTCTTTATTTGGAGAGGACACACTTATGTCATTGTAGAGGCCAGAACTGCGTTGGAAGCTTAAAATATTTTGTGTCCAATAATCATGTTAATTTGTTTTCCTTTTTTGTAAAATGATTCTTTATTTTTCAATTATTTAGTATTATCCTATATAATATATGTCATTTAGGGTATGTTATAAACTCTAAAATGATGAGAAGGTATTTGATTTTATCTAATTCTTATTTTTTGCACACTTGCAAAGAGTGTAAAGAGTGTAGGGCATTTCCTACTCTCATTAGTATTAGTAGGGCAAGG